TATATATAACTCATCTCAGTGCAGTAAACATCTACTTTCGTAAACAAATTTATTTAAAACCTTTAATGTCATTTTTATTTAGGTTTTCAGTTTCTTAGTACATTTGGCACAGTTATTTGCTGATGACTCTCAGTGACTTTCGTCTTCTTCCTTTTCTTGCTCAAATGAAATGAATAATTTTAAGAAGAAAGAGAATTCTAAAAAACAATATGTCAACACCGATAACCTGTTAATAAATACACTTGATTTACGCTTACAGTATACTTCACTGACAGCCAAATCCTAAGAATAAGATTAAACTACAGTTGAACAAGCCGCTAACCACAGAAAATTTACAAATGCTTGTAAGACTGCAGGCTCTCCATCCCAGTGGTAAAATTAACTATTTCAAGGCAAAGCTACAAAAATTACTTATTGCGGTGTATAATCCCTTTATTTCCGTAAGTGACTTTTCGCATTCCCTCTTCATCCTATCCTTAAATAAAGCAAACGCTTGACCAGATTCTGCTTATTAAAGAATAAAAAAAAATTTTTAAATCATTGTTCAGTCCAAAAAATTTAATTTAAAACGATTAGTGCTCCAGAAAACCCCTTTCCTTTCAAACACCAAAAGCCAAGGTCCAGAGAGCGTACGCTTCCCATAAAGCTTTTCACTAGTACAAATCATGACAAAACCATAATGAACCCTTCATTTACTACGCATTCTGGTTGTCAGCTTGGTTCTCAATCGCAAAAGGGAGGTATTTCCAAGTCCAAAGAATCGTGCAAATTTTTAATATCTATTCAATCTTAAACGCCATTTTGAGAACGGCTTGGACTTTTACTTCCTAAAAACACACCCAAGAATGTCCATAAGAACTGTTATACAAAGGACTGGACTACCAGTGGGAACAAGGGAAATTACTTTAAAACAATATGAACAACTACGCTCAATCAGTTTGTTATCCTGCACACTGTGAAGCAAGTTCGACTATTTTGAATGGAAGAACTGTACCAAAGCAATGAAGCGAGGCGAAAGAGGCGTTACTCCAAGGCAAATCTTTATGTTTCAACCAAATACTCGGTCGATTTCAGTAGCGTATTAATCCCCTCAATATGGAAGTTGTCAAAATCAACTACTCATTTTTCTCTGCGTATGACTTCAATAATTACACTGATCAGCGAAAAAAGAATTGGTTAAACCAAAAGAAAATGAACTGACAAAAAATGAAAAAAAAAAAGATAGTTTAAAATCTGGAGCCACAATTACGTATCACAATAATGAAAATTTACAGCAACTGTCAAAGAAAACTGTGCTAATTTCTTTTCATAAATAGCCTTAACAAAGGAAGAAAAAAAAATTAAAGAAAAAAATTCAATGATACTCAGAAATCCGGTAGCGTTAGACAAATTAATTGAAATGAAACAAACAAAATTTATTTTGTAAAACAATACAACCACATCTGTTACTGCTTTAAAATCATTACTGATGTGCGTCAAAGATATAATAATTTGAGGTAAGCAGATAAACTATTTTCAATACAATACACACATCTATTTACAGCCAGTTTAAAACACGCATTTATACATAAAAATTGACTGAAACAAAACTTCAATGAATTAACCACAAAAAACAAGTTTTCATTTTACGCTTCCTTCTCCCCTCCACTAAACAATCAAAAAATTAAAGACAGTTACTTTGCTTTTAGTAATCCTACTAATGACTCTAAAATTATTCTTCAGAACAGTTCAAAAACCATTTTTTAGCACCAATCGTAATTTAACTAGGCGCTGACAAATTACTCTTGGATCGACGTTTTGTCGAATTTGCTTCTTGTATACTTCTCGGCAATAAAATTGTCGTTACAAATTCTTTCGCATCTTTCCAAACTTCAAACTTAAACAAAGAAAAATAACACAAAGAATTTTGTCGAAACTAAGATCTATGCAATATGATATGATAAAATAATGTGTTTCGAATACTAAAGAGATGTTTGTCTCTAATAATAAAATAGTTACCTGTTTACGAGCACTGGATACAATAGACTGGCTGACTCGAAGGCGAGAACGCTTATCAATGGTTTCATCTAGTGCTTTTTCAACCACAGTTATCAATTCGTTCCTTCGTTCCAGCTAAAATTCCTGTATCCAATAAATAAAAAACAATAGTGCAATAATTAAATAAGTTCAAATATGTTAAAGAAAAATAAAAACTTCCTGCAGCTCAGAAAGTATACTAATGTTCTAAATTAACAAAGAAAAAGAATTAGTATTTTTAGCAACATCTGCGGGAAAAAACATCACCTCAAGATCTATATCACAAATGCTTTTTACAGAGCAGACACCAGAAATCAACGACGTTTGGGTGGCCTTAGAATCCATGCATAATCTTGCAGTCGTTCCAACGTCAAGAAATGACTGTGTCTGTAAAAATTCTTTAATCAAGCAATAGCGTAGTACCAAAAACTAACTCCAAATAAATTTTTTTTATCTATTCTGGGACACCTTTTTAAATTAAGTTGTTGTCAAAGCACAAAACTGTATTCTTTCACAAATCATTGAAAATACAAAAAAATGTCTATCTTCTGAACATTTGAAAATGTGAGAAAATTGTGGAAGCAATTGAGGGTTTCAGTACGAAACAAGCTGAAATAACTTACACCTGTCTGGGTACCAATAGATTTAAAATCCAAACTGGTTTCATTTAACAATTTCGTATTGCTAGAACAATCAGTCAAAAAAATTTTTGCCTTTGATTTATTTAATTTTGTCAGACTGCCGTCAATAACTTTTGCTTGACAGAGTTTCGGAGGTCGACGAGATGCAGCAGTTCTAAACCAAAATTTATTTTAGTACCTACTTAGAAGCTACAAAAAATTTTAAAAATTCACATTAAGCCACCAAATAAATAGACATGAAAAAAACGATGTCACCAAAAAAGAGAAAGATTTCAACCTGGAAACATTAGGTAAAAATTTTGCTGCTGTTTTTGCTACGGGCAGTTTCACGTTTGAAGGTAACGGAATCAAAGACTTTCCAATAACTGCCTCTGTAAAACTACCTTTTTTTCAATAGCTTGTTTGAACGATAAGCAGCTGTAGGCTTGAAAAAATATGCTTTACGAATATTTGAAATGATTTACTTTGTTTTGGTGTTTTTGAAAATGCATTACTGTTTCCTGAATGACGATAACATTCTGCAAAACGTTTTGGGTCAATTAAAAAGTTCTCACAACAATTCCTCTCACCTGAAAAAAATAAATTTTTTCCCTTTGTATATTTAATAGATCATGGCGATAACTCAAATCAATCGAGTTTCATTCTGATAATAAAAAAACCCTTCTTATAGTTTCAACTTTAGTTTCCAGTACAAAAAACACTGAAGTCTACAATAACATTAATGAAAATTTGAAAATCCCTGATTAATTATGTAAAATTTACCACTGGAAAGTTGTTGGACAGAATTTGCAAGAATTTTTTCACGACATTTTGAAACTTTTAATTTCTTTTCGGGATTGCCGAGTTGTGGTAAGCTCGTACTGACTGTCAACGGTTGCAATCGATTGCCAAATACAACGTTCTGATAGATATTTACAGATAAACTATTGGAAGCCGATATATTTTCTGAAGTTTGCAGCTTTCACATTATATGCGACCTCTTGCTTAATTAAGAAGAACAGAAAAAATTGAAGTGTTGATGCAAAACAAAATTCCTGTATTAAACTGCTACAAGTGTTGTCAGTAAGCATTTATTTAATAAAAAAGCATTTCAAGGAGGATAAGTTGATAAATAAGATTGCAATATTATTAATGCTTACCATTTTTAGTGATAATCAAACGAAGACATAGAAAGATAAAAAGAAGAAAAATCTTTCATTCATCGGTTTCAATAATGCTATAATTTTGTCTTTCATTCTAAATCAGTAAAGAAAGTGCAGAGAGATAAAGCTAACCACTAGAAACCTCTAAATCGTCATCGCTAGCTGACGGAACATTAGGGTTACTAGAAGACCTAGTCGAGTGCCTAAACAAAAAAATCCTTGCATTTGTCAGAGATAATGCTACTATTTATAATTTTTACAACAACGATGAATCGCAGAGCCGATAAGGCTGTCGGTTACCGCTGTCAAAAAATAAATAAATAAATAAATAAATAAATAAATA